AGGACTTAGACCGTTAAACTGTCTCTCGTGATTCTGACATTTTGGGCGGTTCAGGAATCATTGCTTTATGACGCACAGGAACTGTACTTAGCAGAACCCCTCCCTTAACATTGGAACTCTGTAAAAACTAAAGCACATTAGTGTCAATGATTCTCTGACTCAATTACAAGATGCCACACCCACTACTTTTATGCCTCGTCCCGCAAACAAATCTTGCCTGTACATTAGAAATTGTAGGAAAAGTTCTCCTTATCCAAATTTCATAAGAATGATGAGATGCAGAAGAGTGGATTGTTTTTGTGGAGAGCCACGTTGATTCTGAGCTTAGGATCACCAACAGCACTGGGGTGTGACAGACTCAGAACGCGTATTTATTACTGCTTTACATTTACTTAAAACACTCTCCTTGTGTCGTTGATGGGATTTTATAGTTAGACTTACTGTAAGGAAAGAAGCGAACCCGCATCAGTATTTCTCGTGCAGTCTTCAGAATCTCTACAGCCTAAAGAGGAAGAACACATTCACTTAATGCAATGCAATGCAATAAAAAAGGCTCATTCCAGGATTGTAATTGAGATCAGCTAAATGAAATACAAAATGATACTGCTTGCTCCAGTTTTATGAGGAATGGATTCTTGGTTGACAACACAGCCAGTTTCAGACAGTTTTTGACAACCAGGAAATGTGATTGGAGATATGCTGTATAATGAAGTGATGATTTAAATCATCTGTAAGTTTGTGACTTACTCGTGAGTGCTCTATGTCTTGGAAATCAACCTCATTCACAGACAGAACCTGGTCTCCCTCTTGTAGTCCTGCTCTGTGGGCATCTGAGTCTGGAACCACCTGCCAACCCATCACACGCACGCACAGAAATAAGTCATCAAATTTTGACATTTGCAAATAATTTGTCAAATGTACAACATGAAAATCAGTAAAAGTATATACTGTACAAAACCAGAGGGCGACACATACATACCTTGGATATAAAGATTCCTAACTGTGATGCTTTGCCCCCTCGGATGTTAAAGCCCAGCTGTGCTCCCGGAGGTTTCTTCAGGACAATTGTACGAGGTAAGAATTGCGTGAGCTCGTTGTTGTAGTCAGGGTGATGAACACGCTACACATGGAGGAAAACCTTGAATTACTGGGAGTGATCTGTACACTTGCTTTACCATTAAAAGTCTAAAACACTTTTAAAGAACAAATCATGAGGCTAGTGAAGATGTACACCTCTAGTCATACAATTAAAAAAATGAATCACGAATAAAAATAACATTCTTTTATGCAGAATGATGCATGGATACTTGTTTTATAATCGAGACGTAGCCCTCTGATTTGTTATTGAATCGTGAGGAAGCTAGAGACCCCCACAGAGTGCAAACACCGTCCCCTGGTTTAAGTCAGAGCTGCAGGGTGAGCCTGTGACATACGTCCTGTGGAGGGATCCATGCTGGAGGGTTCTCATAAGAAGGCAGGAACACAACTGGGAGCTGGTAGTCATCATAAGGGATCTTCTGATCCATAGTTTCTGGAAACACCTGAAGAGAAAGAAGTTATGACAACTTGCTCCCGAACATCTAATGCACTGCTTGATATATATAAAAAAACACAGGTAGCAGTTATCTTAATGACTCGTATTGCAAACTAATATATATAAAGTTGGATTTCAGCCTACAGAGACCAGAACACACCGGTACTTCTATCATTACTGACGTTACTGTGAATGTAACGATGAACATTTGGATCAGTCGATGTCAATCAAACACAAAAGTCCAAAGTTGATCATTTCGCTGTAAAAACACACAAACGAGACGCTGCTGGCTAACGCTGGTTAGCTTGCTAGTTAACTTGGAAACGAGCTAACCTTGCTTTGTTTACAGCTCATTTAAATTCGTTTTCGCTATTAGAGGAATCCGAACTCTAATGATGAAGACACTCCTCGTCTTATGAAAGAAAAATATAGAGTGGCCGCCATTAAATAAGAAATAAACTCACCGCAGGCTCGTCTAGCACGGTTAGCAACGAGCACTTCCTCTGTAACACACTGATCAACACCTTGAGCTTTGTTGCCTCCTGCTGTCGCGGAGGGGAAATTACATCTGCCGTCCACAGAACATGGACATATAATAAGATGTATTATATCTGTTAATACTGTTAAACAGCTGTTAATACTGTTAAACAGCTGTTATTACTGTTATATAGCTGTTATTACTGTTATATAGCTGTTATTACTGTTATATAGCTGTTATTACTGTTATATAGCTGTTATTACTGTTATATAGCTGTTATTCATATTATATAGCGAGAGATAATTTTCTTTTTTCATGAGGAAAAAAATAATTAAAATGTTTTAATTTCTGAATTAACAAGATACATAAAAATCAGCTTTTTTTAGCCAGAGAGTGATTTTTAATATAACCATAGAGAGTATTGAAGCAAACGTGTCCCACCATATGCTTTTTTTCTACACAAGCTTCCATAATTTTTTTTTTTGCTTTTGAATGTGCTGTTACGTGAATGCGATAATTTCCTCTTCTGAAATGTGACGAGAATCAGTTAACTCCTGATGGAAGAAGTTTCTGAAGACCCTGAGGTCGTCAGCAGTTATTAACATTTGGAGAAGTAAATTCAATTTTTATTCTGTTCTCTTCTTACCTGTATGTATTCAGTGCCTTGGCTGCTGCAATGAAAATGTATCTTATCTTAAATGACCTAATGCGCACCAAAACATAGGGAACCAAACATTAGCCCTTGTGATCCTTGTTTATTCTGCTGAGTGTGTGTGTGTGGTGCGCCTGTGTTACGACTGTTTAAATCCTTTTGGTTACTGGCTCAACCTGTCTTAGTGCTTTATAGTGTTGACTTAGACTTGACATATGAGTACTCTCTCTTTAGGCGATCTATTCTTTTCAACCAGTAATAACTTAATTAGCTTTGCAATTAGTAAAATACCTTGAAATGATCTTATTTTCCAGCTGGTAAATGGGAATTGCAATTTTGGATCCTCCAGTAAATATTTGTAATGGTTTGTATATTTTAACTCTACAATTATGGGTTTTGTTCCTGTGCAGCTCCACACCCGGACAGGTCGTTAGCAGTCCTATGGTTTGTCTTTTTTTAATCATGTGCCCCTATATGTCTGTCCAACCAAAACTTGTTTTTCAAAATCTTTAATAAGCATGTCTGAAAGTTCCTTTTTGTTCGATTCCTCCATCCCTCATAGTTATCCAATAATTGTAAATTATTTTTAATAAAGACATAGTGTTATTTCTCTTGCCTCAACTTGAAGTGCTCATACCAGTTCTCACTTTCCCCAACAGCCGTCTCAGAGCCTGAACCCGTGTTTTATTCAGCTCTGGTAACACATTTCATCACTGATTCAGGCTCAGTACTTGAAAACATCACGTGTCCCCCCCCTCTTCTTTTTATCTCTAATCATTTTCTTTCTGTCACTTTATGCTTTAATTATAATGTTAACTTTAGCAGACACATTTTCATTTGGCTATATTCCATCTAACATGAACACTGTATTAAGCAATAATCCTTCTCCCTGCCCATTTCTTGTAAAGACGAGTGCACACAGCAAGCTTCAACTTGTTACAGAACCACATCAGAGCAAATGAGAAGATGCAGGAATCTCACACCACATTTGAACCCCTGAGGTATTTGGATTAGTTTCTCCAGCTGACTTGTTGATTGTGGACATGTAATAGACTATGAATCTGCTTGATATATTTAAATTGAAACTTTCTCCTGTGACATATCTCATTACTTAATCTTAATGTTGTCGCTCATTTACACGTTTATTTCCAACGTCATCTGACGACTGGAGTCATCTCAAGTTTAAGTGAATTTGTGCAGCCAAGTATATCCATGAATTCCTCTTCAAAGAAATATTTTTTGGTCTGCTCTTAACCTTCATGAAGAATGACGGGAAAAAAACAACTTATCACAGTCTTTACAATCTATGATCACTGTTGAGACTATCAGAGAGCAAAGCTAGATAAACAAGTGGATGCAATGAAGAAAACTTCAGATGAAACTAAAACTAAATCAAAAGAGCACATACCAAGGTATTTACATAGTCAGGAGGAAGTTTTTTGTTTTCTTACAAACCATCCTAATACAAATGAAGACAAATCTCACATATTTATTTTGACACATATTTAATTTAGATTTACCACGTTTAAATCTATTCATGTCCCCTGACATTGTGCAGGTTCAATGCTCTACCTGCAGCAGCACTGGGTTTATAAACCAGACTGCAAATGTCAGTCTACCTGAACTGAACCCGCTGGATCCTCTGCATGTGATTGGGCTACACCCCCTCACCCCCTGGGGCCATTCATGTAGAGGCATTCACAGTCAGTGCACGGAGCCAGAGAGCAGAGGATGCAGCAGCAGCAGCACACACCGACTGACTGACACAGTGTTTGTGCAGGAGGAAAACTGAGGCTTCTACCAACAAACTGTGTGTGTGAGAATCTAACAAGCTGGTCTTTCATGGTGAGTCTTTTCTGTTAATTAGTTTGATAGAAGTTGAGATAATCGCAAACTTAAGACAACACCTGATTCAATGTGATGGGTTTTGTTTCCTATAGTTGTACTTTATTACAGAAGAATCCACAGAAAAGAATTGTGAACATTTATTGCTTAAACATTTTGGCTCAAAGGTGAGATGTTGAATCTAAATGTGTTGCATGGAAATCACTGTCCATTATAATGTATTATCTTTAAAAACTAGATGCTTATGCACAGACGGAGGACAGATTTATTTTGAAGTGCTCTGGTTATGTGGTGTTGGTTGTTTTTAATGTCTTGACCTCAAAAGAGGAAAAAAGAATTGCTAGTTTCCAATTCTACATGTGAAGCAGAAAAAATACTGAAATACTGAAAACTGTTCTGTTTTTTACTCCTTCAGATTGTTTATCTCTGCGTGAACATCAGTCATTTAAAAAGTGATGGGAATGTTTATCCCTCATCGTTTTCAATGAGTGTTACATACCACTAGAGTTTACACTGTGCCAACCATCATTTGTATAAATTAACAAGGTGTCATCATTTAGACTTTCAACTAGTGAAATTACATTTTGATGGATTCATTAAACATATCATTAGATGATGAGTGCTGTCTAGAGCACTGTTGTTTGCATTCAACCATAAATAAATGCATTTATTGTTCTTGTAATGGAAATATTCCTTTTGTCATCTTTCAGCTCAATGACAGAAACCAAGTGTCCCAACGATCTTTTCAAATATCATCATTTCCCGATGCTCAGTGTGTAGAATTTTGTGATATCTAGTGTTGAAGTTGCATGTTGCAGCTGAATACCCCTCACCCCACCCCTACCAAACATGAAAAAGAACCTGTTGTAGCTTCAGTTGTCATAAAAACTCAAAAGGTGTTTAGTTCGTTCAGTCTGGAGTAATGTAAAAAACATGGTGGCCTCCGTAGAGAGGACCCCCTCGATGTAAATACAAAGTGTTTAAATATAAAGGACCTTTTCTGGGGTAAAGAAAACTACAATTCATACAATTTAGATGAAACGAACTAGTGAAAACATCATGAGGATTATTCTGCATTAAATTTCCCTTTCACCATCTATTCAGAACTTTAATCTCAACCTCACCCATTAATCCTCAACTGGCTTATTGCTCCGATCCCTCCTCTGCTAAAAAAAAAAAAAAAAAAAAAAAAAAATTCAGGCAAAAAAAAATCAAGTCAAGTCAAAACAAGTCAAAAAAGAATAAATAACATTTCCCAGAGAAACCCTGCTATTGCTCAATGTCTGGGTGACAAACATGTAGTTTCCCATTACCTTTCTGTTTCAAGGGACCGAAACCTGGCACAACTCTCAAATTGAGTCAGATGAATTAGATAGCACATAAAAAACAAAGAAAATAAATTCTATGGTAATGGCCATACAGGATAAGAAGTGCAATGACAGAATCAAAACCTGTGTACAGAAGTGAGAGGCATTGAGTGGAGCACAAACCTCCCTCAAGACCCAAAAGTCTCATTAAAATCAATAAATCTGTTTCCTTCCTAAATAAACCTGATTGATTTCATCAAGAGCCATGAATTATTCCCAAATAGATTAAAACGTTGACAGATTTAAACAATTCCTGGTCGGGTTATGGGGCAGGGGGTGAAAACATAACCTAGTTGGAGGAGGTTTTGAATAAGATAATAATCATGAGACAAATTTGAATTGAATGGTAACAGTAAAAAGTAATGTAAAATTAAATTTGATTTTAAATTATCGCTCGTGGGAAAAGACCTTGTGGGGAACTGGAGATTGTTCCAGAGCTCGGGGGAAGCAAATGAGAGAGCTCTGCCTCATTTTGTTCAAAGAAGAGAAAGAAGGACTGAGAGGGGTTGTGGTGAGGATGACCTCAGTGACCTGGGGGCAGACTAAAGAACCAGGATGTCAGGGATATAAAGAAGACCCTAATCATTTCTGTATGCAACCTGTAACCGAGGCAGGTTTGCCTGTAAAATCTGCCCTAACATATTTACTAAAATCCTTCTGTGAACTTTTCCCAGACTGCTGCACATCAAGATAGAAATTTAAATCTAAACCCCTGGAAGCTCTGGTCGTCATCTGCGTCCAGAGATTGTTGCTCTCTCTGTTAATGTATCAACTGTTTGTTACTTACACTCAGTTTATTCCCTCCCTCCCTGTACGTGGATGTGCCTGTCACTGTGGTTGTTTGTACTGCAGGGGCTTGAACAGTGTGACTTCATTCTCAGGCCTCTCTGTGCACTTCTCTCAATACCCCATGCTGTTGGCCATTGTAAGTGCTTCCAGTGGCTATAGCCCCTTTGCACAGAGGCTCTCGTCTGAAAGAAAGTCCTTTACTACCCTCCTCCCTCATTTGCTTTCAGTCACAGTCATCTTTTTCTCCCTATTCCTTAGGTTAAGAGAGGTGAATGAAATCGGGCCAGTGCTCAGTATACAGAGGAGGCGTTCTCTGCGGTGCCCTCCATCCTTCTTCAGACTGCACATATCAGGTGTCCACTTTGCACAAAGGAGGATCTGCAGTTTCTACACTGTGAATGAGGAGGAGAAGTGATGCCTCAAGAAAATAGCTGTTGCAGAGTTTGCAGTAGGGGCTTGTATAGCTGCCACTGGAGGAAACCAAGTGAAAACAAGAGAAAAGTGAGTATTTCTAGCCATAGTTCCTGGTAAAGTTTATGAATATTCAAACAAGAATGACACTCAGTAGAGCAACAGTTCCGTTCCATTATTACCTGGTTCAAATATCTTGCAATGTTAGAGAAAGTGGGGGAGAAAATCCTCTGTAAACCTTTTGTTCTGGTCCATGCCAACTCCTCTTTCTTGGCCCATATCCCGTCTTTTTTATCTTTGAAATCAGTTGAATAGTTTTTGCGCAATCCTTCTAACAGACAGACAAACCGAACAAAGATTACACAAACATTCGTGAGAAAATAACTTGATTAGAGAGTTCAGACGCACATCAATGTCAATTTCAGTTTTCAGGTTCCCTGTACTGCCACTGAGCTCCGAACCTTCACAGATCCCTGTAATCCGGGATCAACATTCCTCTGGACTGAATTCAGAAATATATAATATCGCCAATGAGCTGTTCTGCTATATCAACGCCGTTCTTCAAATGCATTTAAAATGAAAGTGGGTTACTTTGTTTGGAGAAGGCTATTCACAAAGGACAACAAAAAACACAATAAACAAGTGTTGAAGCACTCATTATGCATTTGTGTGCCAGGAAAATGAAGAAACTCACAGGCCCTAACAGGCTTGTTGTGGAACAGGATTATAACAGGGCTGAGGACAGGTGGGCTGGAAACTTGCTGGTGATGGTGACAGAGCATGAAGGACCTGTTTGTTTTTGGCCGTCAGGGTTCAGAATTGTTCCATTGTCTTCTCTAATAAAATTCCCACAAACACACATGCACACACATGTACACTGCAACATTTTGCTCAATAATAAATGAATTATTGTGGACTATTACTCCACCTGTTTTATTTTAGCACGCATGCTGCTGGTTCTCGGTCGTCACATTGGCCTCCCTGCTCTCTCTGTGCTGGATGTACATATGTCTGGTTACTTTTAATGACAGAGAGGATGTTAACTGGTGAGTGACCGCAAACATGCACACACACACACACACACACAATACCCACAATGAATCCTACACAAAAGCCCAGAATCCTCTCTTTTCTTTCCCTTTCCCTTTCTTTTCTTTTCTTTATTGGTGACCTCTATTCTGCTAACATTGTGTGGCCCTCTGTTGTTCATTATCAGGAAGGCCTTCACAACACTGAAATGTTGGGTGAACTGGTTCATGGTGCTGATCATCGTTTCTGCAGTGATAACCAGCTACTGCGTTCTGCTGCTGGTGAGACTGTAGTGAGGATTCTGTGGTGAAGAGTTTTTAGTAATGTGACAAACTGTCTCAGAAATGGATGTTAACAAGCTTGATAATATTATTAAACATAAAGTTGTTAAACATTGTTTAGCTTAACCTCGTACAATGATGACATAATATTTCAGCCAAATTACAAACAGCCATTGTTGCAGTTTCGTGTTCTATAATTGACAATATTGGTTTCAGCTCTTTGCATTGTTTCAAGTTGCCTTGGGAGAACAACCCGTCCTACACTGGCTGCACAAGGTATTTAAACATTTATCTTTACACCTCTTTTCCTAAGTACATATCCTTTACTATTATTGATCAAACTGCAGCATTAGCATTATTATTATTAAAAAAAAGTAAATCTATCATGTTTTTGCTTATTCTCTGCACAGATCTTCTTATTCTCTGGTGTGGTATTCCTTGCTTTTGGGGTTGCAGGACTAAATCATTGGAAAGACGAATGGCCAACTATTCCTCTTTCGCTCCAGGTACAGTCAGGATCTCCTGAGTACTGTGTGTATTAATAATAATGAGTGTATTTGTAATTGTCCGTTTCAACTGTGTGTTTTGACAGGCAACAGGTCCATTCTTGCAGTTAGGTGCCGTTGGAGCGTTGACACTGCTGAGTCCGTTTGTCTTCCGGGGATTCCACCAAGCTGAAACCGGTTAGTGTCATCAGCAGTTTTCCATCTGTCAGCAGTATCGCTGCTTTGTGAAACCTTGAATTGGTCAATTGTTGAAATGAGGTTCACTGACTGCGGCAAACAACTGTTACATGATTTATATGATCTGTCTTGATCCCAGGCTTGAAAGCACAATAACACTAAGGATGAGTGAATAAAGATATGATAAATAGAAAATAAGGCATTCATCCATTCATCCATCCATTATCTACACACATTGATGTGGGGGCTGGAGCCAATCCAACCTAGGCATATGCCTTGTATTACGCAAAATGTATTGCAATGAAATGTTGATTACTATCATAGCCATACTGCCAAGATGACCTTTAATAACCTGCCTCAGAGCAGATTCGCATAGGTATTAGCCTCTGAAAGGTCCGCCAGGCCTGGAGACGTCAGAGCTCCAGATCTCGTGCTCGCTGTACTCGTCTACCCATCTCTTTACACACTAGGATCACTCGGCTGCATAAAAGAGCATGCCTGCAAATGTTTCATTGTCTTTCCCTTTGCAGAATGCTCACCTGCGCATACTGTCTGACCTTCTTTGCATAGAATAAAGTACACAGACTATTATTTTTCAGAATATACTATACTAGATTTCAGAAGCCTCACCGGGTCAGATTTCCATCACACACCCTTAATAATCTTGATCACACTTAAGTTTTTCGTGAAAGTCAGCTGATTAATCACAGAGTAGTTGAAAGACAGAACCTTAATTGGTAATTTGCATGTTGAATAAAATAATGTACAAAACTATGCAAATGTTTATATGTGACTGACTACAAAGGTGCACAAAGTAAAAAGGAGTGTGTGAAAGGTGGGATATTTAAGAGACTGCCACTGTGTAAATGCTGTTTCCTCAGGGGATTACTATACAGGACTCACAGCAGAATACACAGCAGTGGATCGTCTTATTATTTGTCTTTTCTTCTCAGCAGGGTCTAAAGCCGTCATCGCATCGGCCTTTGTCGTGGTGTCAGTTGCCATCTTCCTGTGTCCCCTGTTCATCCAGTCTCCCTGTCTGATAGAGCTGAGCAAACTGCCTGAAAAACCTAGGCTCATTGGCCACAGAGGCGCCCCGATGGTGAGCATCCTGTTTCTCTTGACAACACCCTGAAGATACATACAGTGCATCTCTGCTAATGTTGAAAGAGCTGTCAAGGCTGACTCACTTGTGATTGTGCACTTTATTTTGTCAAAGTGTTGTAGTTCGACACTTTGTCTTGCATCATTTACAGTATATCGCATCTGTTCACTGATATAATGTGTTCAATGAATTTGACATGACAGAAAACACTGGACTTCTGGCTCAGGTGTGAACAAATGTCCTGTCGTGTGAGGACCCCATGTGCTGCTCTGTCCTTGTTAGTGTGCTTTGCTCCTGGGTCACCATTAAGCCCAATTTAACACTGCATATGGGGTTGTGCGTGTTCACACAGCTTCAGGCTAGTTTGAGAGTTTAAGCACATGAGCATTTCTCACCCATCTGTTCTGGCTGTGCTCAGCTGGCGCCAGAGAACACCATGATGTCATTCAACAGCAGCATTGCGTGCGGCGTGGCGGCCTTTGAGACCGATGTGCAGCTCAGGTACAGTAAAAATGGGCTCATATTTGAAAGGCTTTTCAGTGCTTTTAGTTTTTTTTAAAGGAGACATATTATGCTTTTGTGTGTTTTATAAATGTAAAAGTTGTGCAAAGTTAAAAAGCTCAAAGTCCGCAGCAAAGGGAGCTCCTCCCCCACAGAAAACACTGATCCTGATGCTACATCCACCTTAATACGTTTTAATTCAAAACACATCAACTGTGCTACAGCACCTGGCATCCATACTACTCCAGAGTGTAAGAGCCACTTAAAATTTGACATCGCTGCTGGCCCCGTTTTATTTTGAAACTCTAAGGCAGTGGTTGCTCGTCAATCACAATCTACCAGGTGATCTCGACAGTTTCACCGTCGATCCCAGAAACTCTCTGGACTCACAGTCTCTGGTTGCGCCGCAGATCAGCTGTGTTGGTTGTCTGTTGTTCACATGCATTGTGTCTGCAACTAGCGGCGGAGCTGCTGGTTTATCTCCTGCATTTCCTTCAATAAAAGTCGGGTTATGCATTAAACTGAATGCCAGGACTCTACGGTATGAAGACGCGTATCTTCCAGTCTGTCCATAACAATCAAAGCCCTGTTAGAACAAATGAATGGATTCAGAAGTAAAATGCTTTTACTTTGAAATGGGTTCAGGAGGTGTTGTAAATACGTTTATGACATAGACAGATAAACTTTGTGTTTCACAGCAGAACAAATTGAGAAAATGATCTTTCAGCAAAGTAGCATAACCGCCTTTCTTTGTGTATATTTATGCCTGTACCTTGAGCCTTTAACAGAATTGGCCAAGATAATGAATATGACCCTCCTAAGTGGGTTTTTTGCAAGATATCGGGGTGGTAGATCTCAGCTTACGTTTGGAATTAAAAAGTGATCTTGTGCTTTAGAAGGTTGGTGACCACTGCTGGAAGGCAATGTTTAATCTGGGCGGGGATGTTTGAAGACACTCACAACCGCTTGCTGATTGGGTCTTTTTTGGTCACAACATAGCCTTCGCTGATTCGTCAGGCATCTGTCGCATTAAACCCTTCCGAAAGGGAACAACCAGGATAAGCCTCAGCTAGTGAAGAACGCAACGTGGATAATGAGTTACAAGCGCTGCCGACCCCTGATACGGAGTCAATGCTTAGGTGGACTGACATTGTTTTAGTTTAGTAATATGGATGTAGCCTGAAGAAGCTCCTGATCCGACATTTGCATAATGCACAACTAGCAGCTAGTCTGGCACGTGTCCCCTAACAAAGCCAGGTGAGCGAGAGCACATCCTGGAAACAGTTGACCAATCACAACAGAGCAGACTGGACTTGGAGGAGGGCCTTAAAGAGACAGGAGCTAAAACCAAGTGCTTCAGACAGAGACTGAAAAGAGGAGCTGCAGCAATGGACAGTAAGAAGAAGGTGATGTGTTTCCCAAACATTAGATCAGTATTAAAGGGCTGAACATGAGCATAATATGTCTCCTTTAAGAAGATGTGATTCTACACAGTGCTCATGGTGGCAGACTATACTGGCTACCACCTGGAATTTTCTTTTGAGACAATGACTCATCGATATCAGACATAGAGAGAGAAAAGCATGCTTCTCTAATTTATGATTAGCTCCGGAGTTTGCTGGCTGAAATGAAAAAAAACACAGATGTCAATAGGGTCATAAAGTATTTAATACAACGTCCCTGTTTCTCTAATCTAGTAAAGACAGAATTCCCTTCTTGATGCACGACCACCACTCTGAGTTTCTGTTGAGAACGACGAACGTCAATGAGAAGTTTCCTGAAAAAAACTTCAGCTCCAGCGACAACTTCACCTTGGAGGAGCTGAAGACTCTGAACGCAGGTGAATGGTTCCTAAAGGTGAGGGCTCTGCTTTGATACATGCTCGTCCGCACACTTGCACATTATCATCACTCAGCATGCTGTAGTTACAGAGCATATCTCTGGACTCTCCAGACAGATCCTTTCCATTCGGTGTCCCAGCTCTCAGAAGAGGAGAGGAAAACTGCAGGGAATCAGACAATACCCTCCTTAAGTGAGCTGCTCACACTCGCCCAGCAGCACAACATCTCAGTGATGTTTGACCTTTACAGTTCCAACCAGAAAAATGACACCAAAGACACAGTCAGCACCATCCTGAAGTCTGGCATCGACCCACGCCTGGTATGTGTAGTGTTTTGTGATTGTTGTATTTTCCTTTATAGGCCTCTGTGCCGGTGACAGCCACGTTTTCGGCTTCTCTGTCCATCACATTCTTGTGAACGCAATATCTCCAGAACAAATTTGTTACGAATGATCACTTTGACTCATGAATGAACTGAATACATCAAGATGAACTAATTGGATTTCTGGGTCAAAGGTCACGGCGACCTTATATGAGTCTGCAAATAAATGTTTGTAGATTGAAACTGCACTGGTTTGTAGAGCAATACAACCACAGAGCGGTAATTCTAGTTTTTTATAGATTCTCTGGCTTCCGTCTGCTGAGAGAGAGTTTGTGAACTCGACTGCTCCAGGTTTCATCCAGGTCTATAGCTCAATAACTCAAATGGAGGAAAAAGGAGGAAACCACCTGAATGTGAAATACAACAATTTGAGTACAGAAAAAATCAGGTAAAAAAATCATAATTAAACAATGTACACCAATGTAATAATGTGCTGGTACCAGGGGACATGTACACACCAGCGTGTTAATTAAAAGTGTGTGTGTGTGTGTG